AGGCATTGTAGATGCGGCGTAAGTGGGTTTCACTACACTTAGACACGCGGATGCCACCACCTTGTGTTGTCTTGAATACGAAGCCCCCTTGATAACGATGGACGAACTATCACAACAAAGTCGTCGTCTAGATGGCTTCATGGAAGACAAGATGTGCAAGCGTGAAGAGGAACCAAGGAGCTCGCGGCGATAAATTTCAGTACCCTGCTTCCAAAACTACCCCTATTAAGAACGTCGGTGGCCATTGAGGAACATGAGACCATAGCAATCAGCTGCCGTTTACCCAGACGGACGACGCAGCGACTTAAGAATGCTAGTGGTCAATGCTTCCGACGAAAACGAGGAAAGGCAATGATTTGCTAAAGTGCGTACTCAACGGCGTTACGCACTCCATATTATTTGACCACATAGCTGCTTTTATTAGGGGAGTTGTCTTTTCAGAGCAGACATGATTTGAGTAATCTTAAAACCGAATTACAAATTAATTTCTTCGATAAAAATGCATCTTCGTCAGTTTACTCTTGAAGGTATAATGCCTTCAGTGTTGAATTCTAATTGTACTTTTGACTTTTTTTTCTAAGTTCAACGGAACCACCTGTGACGTCTAATGGGATTAGATGAAGTGCCGGTAAAAGTACACTGTGATCAGGATCCATTACCACTACATCACTGCGCGCGTCATTTTCCACAACTTCCCTGACCGTTGGATATTCGGCCCACCTTATTTTGGGTGTTTATTTCTGGGGGAGGGGGGGATTTTGTCCGAGACGGCAACAGGCCTTTAAAGCGCCCTTATAATAAAATATTCTGACTTTTGTAATAGTAAACCACAGGCGGTAAATAAAATCTTGTCACAAAAAATCATGAGTTCAACTAATAACTGATGATTTATTAGGGCCAGGCATTTGACTATGTACAAAAAAACTCCATGGGTGTTTAGCCTGAGTCGTGCAGAAATTTCTCAGGATAAACATCCAAAACAGAGTAGTCCGTGGCAATATCCTATCCCCTCGCTCATCTTGTATTGAATGGATTTGCGAAGGGGTTTATACACGGTTTTAATGGTGTCTAATTTGTACCAGTAGTCTGACGAAAGCGAGCTGTTAGCGTAAAGGTATGATGGGCTATAGAATATAGTCTCGAGCTAACAAGGTTGTAAAATCGGTTGCCTTTTCCGCCAACGCCGCAAAAAACTGAACTGTATTTTATCTCTCATCAGAAGAATGCATTCCTTATTATCAACGACCGTCTGGGTGGAAAGGCTGTCAATCCCGAATATTCATCGACAAAGTTGCTGGCGGGAGATAAAAGTAGAGAAGACAGTTCATTATGTTCACGGAGATTTTGGAACCTTATAAGACCATCGAAAACATCGGCGTGCGCCTGACATTCGTTAGGGGATTCCTGCTCTATGGTTGAAAATGCCGGACTGAGCGAAAACTGGGGGTTTTCGACTACGATTGGCTGAAGACGAGCCACCAAGTGGTACCTAAATTGCCTTCAATGAGACAGTCCGCATATGACGCAGCGACATCGTGGGGATACACGAGACCAACGAACAGCGGCGGCTGAAATGGTCCGGGTGCGTTTGCAGTCGTCTGGCCGATGAATTCTGGGCTATACGCGAAATATATTAGGAAAAACTAAACGTGTTTGACAACCGCTGCCTGACAATCGTCCTTCGAGTGAAGCACACTGACCTGAATTCGAATGAGACGTTCTGCACTCACTGAGATAACACTGCAAGAATATCTCAGTCCTGACTTAGGTTGTTTGTGCACGTTCATCGTCCGTATTGTGAGCTAACTTAAGCTGCCTTCGATCTGCCGAAATTGCCTACCCGGGGACACTGGACAGATGGAATCAAAACTTGACTTGGCACAGTTCGCCATGACATGCAAGTGGTTCTTGGACCCTCTGTATTCTGTTCGTCACTGGAGGAAAGAAAGCGTCGAGCGCTCTAGATTTGCTACCGCATGCCATCACGCGTGAAGAGGAACAATTCGCAAAATCGTCGAGAACGATTACATTAGGCCTGATTACTGCTGCACCAAGTCCGCCTCATGAGTTCCATGCTCCAGTCTAACCAGAGGAGACGAAGGGGAAATCATGTCAAGAGTTGGACAGACATGGTTTTCGAACCCGATAGGCTCCAGCGTAGATTGTTATGCGTGGAGAGCCACAAAGGCCGACCAGAGCAAGCAATATTCGGCCATATCCGGCATATAAGTATTAACCAGGTAATTCGATGATCTACGAGTCGTAATGTATAATGGTATTACTGAGTGAAAGCCCTTACCAGTAAGAAATGCGTTATTCGTCGCATAAGTCCGTACCATATCTCGCTAACTCACCGCTCTACTCTACGTGCGGATTGTAAGGCTGTTGGAAGTTGCCTTACTGTTCGTCAGCGAGCCCAACGGTCCCTGTTTACAGTCGGTGCAGGCAACACATGCTGGCGCTGGACTAAGAGTAATATTTTAATCTGATAGTTGAAATCAGTATTCTTAACCGTAGCATAACGATTGAATGGGAAACCCTTGATAACGTAGTTATCGCAAAAAACGTGGCAGCAATAAGAAAAGAAGAAAATATAAGTTGAACCTGAGGTGTGCAGAATTTGCAGCATCACACAAGAGCTGTAGGTCAGTCAAGAACGAGCAAAAAGTGAGACAACGGATAAACCAGACTTACCAGTTGGAAACTATGCCACGAGTCGAAGTCAAATTTGAAGTCGCCACAGAGCCCTTCGGGAATGTTCAGTGTTGAAGTTATGTGGAAAAATTCCTTGGGCTCGTTCAGAACGTGTATGGCGAAAGAAGCATCACCCTGAATGGTTGTTGTTGTCCGGTCCAGGAACAACCGTTGCAGCAGACCCTGGGGTTTCAGTAAGTAAGCACACTGTGTGTGGTCACGCATGAAAGAGTGCTAGAGCAGAAGCTGGTCAAACATAGTCTCCTAACCTCAAGGTATTTTATAATTCTATGTACACTACTCCATGAGCTCTTACGGCGGTCGATAACAAGTGTGAACCGTGTGTGTTGATCCCGCCTTAAGCGACTTAAAAATAAGTTCAAATCCTTACTCAAGCGATATGTAGTATTTCAAGATGATGTCGAGAGCTGAAAAATCGATAAGTTCGTCTTCGATGTCAAGAAAAAATATAATCGGATGCCCATCCTGGTCGCGTGATCCTGAGTAACAATAATGTCACTATAACAATTTAACCTGGAGAAAGGACAGAATAGTGGATTAATTCGAAATTCGACACATGGGGCAATAAGCTTTCGTGAGAAACCATCATCTCACACAATGTCCCATACTCGGAAAGTGAGTTAACTAATCCGCCTCCTTATTAGGTAATCAAAAGTAAACCCCGTTTTCAGATTGACCTTGGTCGTCCTTTTAGGACGCAAATTTCATAATTCTCCTGCGATTTCCTTTGTAAGTGGCTAAACGAATTACAAATAAAATACTTTTTTGCAATAATCAACGATCTCTTAAAGGACTGACATTTAGGATTGGTAGATAGAAATTGTAGGTCTTAGTACTGCAAAAGTCCCAGTAAATGCATATTGCATTTGAACTAGAACGGCTTGTGAGAATGTCGGCAGGGGTAGCTTAATAACGAGAAGCGGGGTCAAGTCGTCTGGCATAGGTAACTTTCATCATAAGCTTGTCCCTGTCAAGCAAACATGAGAAATGAGTACCAATAACAATTATATTCAGATGAGGATGGAATAGCACCTTCTTGTGCAAACAGACATCATAAGCAGAGCCTCCGTAAGTAATTTTCGATCCAGTAGCATCAATTCTACCTGTTACAACGTTGTGGATAAAATACTGCAGCAAGAACTAAATCTTTCCATAGAGCAGCATAATGGATTCTCTGATGTCCTGTATGAATTCAACGAAGACAGGCCATGCATCGCAAGTTTGTTATACTGTTTAGAACAGAATACCTTACCAAACGATAGAACAATCCGGTATAGGCTGTGTCTATCAATATCAAAAAGCATTCGATACGGCATTTCAACAGCCTTCCGCCCCGTACGAACTCAGCTGAAAGAGCGTTAAAGGTCATAGCCTGCGGTCAATAAAAACTTCCTGATAGAAGCGAAGATACGAGTCCCAGGAAGCATTCTTGAAGAAGAAGAAGAAGAAGACACGTTCGCCGGGACAAGAGCTTTATTAGCCTGACGTTTCGGATTCCTGCTAGAATCCATCATCAGAGACAAAAGCAGATAAGGGTGGTTCATGCATATGGGGCTGCAGTATACATAGGATGCAGTAGCCATGCTACCGCATACCTATGAATATTCAAGGCTCCCCCCTTTCATCAGGAATCGTTGCACGTGGCGTGATGGCCGACATTCGCGTAGTTAATTGCTGCAAATTCACCACGTGCGTTGGATGTTGGTGTGATGATTACTCGACCGTCTGACGCGCTGACCCGGGTGTTGGGAAGGGTGTTCACCTGTGCGCTCCGCACGTGGCCAATTACTCCGCCTAGACGAAGTCAGATGGATGCTGAGACTTCGTCTAGGCGGAGTAATTGGCCACGTGCGGAGCGCACAGGTGAACGCGCACAGGGTCAGCGCGTCAGATGGTCGAGTAATCATCACACCAACATCCGACGCACGTGGTGAAATTGCAGCAATTAACTACGCGAATGTCGGCCATCACGCCACGTGCAACGATTCCTGATGAAAGGGGGGAGCCTTGAATATTCATAGGTATGCGGTAACATGGCTACTGCATCCTATGTATACTGCAGCCCCATATGCATGAACCACCCTTATCTGCTTTTATCTCTGATGATGGATTTCAATTCAGTTCAGTTCGGTTTATTGAGGGAAATAGGCGTGAGCCTTTGAGTGCCTATTTGCAACGTAAAAAATGTGTGGTATACACATAAATGTTGTGGGCTGAAATAGTTCAAACTCGCACACAGTGATAGGAAAAAATGAGAACGAGTTACGGAGGGTGAGCTCTACTTCTCATCGCTCTTCGTAATTTCGGAACATAAATATGTCCAAATTCTTTTTAAAAGTTTGTATAGATGGTGACATCACAACATTTGCGGGAAGGGCATTCCATGGTTTGACCACTCGAACATAAAAGGAGAATTTCCGCACATCCAGCATTGCTTGCTGAGTGCGCAGTTTGAACGGGTGACCTCGGAAGTTGGTCGAGGTAGCAAATTCAAAGAACTCCTGGAAGGCCAGACTGTAATCCAACCCCTTAACAATGCGGAAGGCTTGCAAGAGATCCCCGCGAAGTTGCCTGTAACTCAAAGGAAAGAGGTTCAGATTTACTAGGCGGGTTGCATAAGGAAAGGAGATTTGACCCCTAACCATCTTCGTGGCTCTCCTCTGGACTCTTTCGAGGCAGTTTTGATCCACAACAGCCCACGGACTCCAGGCTTGTATGCCGTACTCTAAATGCGGCCGAACGAATGTTCCGAATGTCTTTGAGAAAGCATCTTCGTCAAAGTCCATAAACGCACGCTTGATGGCGTAGAATACAGACATTGCGTTTTTTTGCGACCCTCGAACAATGGGCGGATGGCTTTAGAGAACTTGCCGTCAGAGCACCGAGGTCCTTTTTGACTTCGACCTCTTGTAGGGCTGCACCGCCCAGAAAGTAGTCTCCTGTGCTGGCCGAACTGGCTGTGTTGCCTAGGCGAAGTATGCTACATTTGGCAACGTTGAACCGCAGGAGCCAACGGTTTGACCACTCCTCCAACCGATTCAGGTTCATCTGCAGTCTCTCTTCATCGGCAGGATCCCGAATTACACTCCATACCTTCATGTCATCGGCAAACATTGCTACTTCACAGTCTAAAGCTCTTGCGGCATCGTCCACGTAGATAAGGAACAAAATGGATCCCAGCACTGAACCCTGGGGGACACCACTCTCGACCATTGCAGGGTCTGATTTTTCCCGACCGATGCAGACAACCTGGTGTCGACCCAAAAGGAAGTGTTCAATCCATTTAAGAAAGTTGCCACTGATCTCTATTTTTGAAGTTTATGTAGGAGCCTCTGGTGTGGCACAGTGTCGAACGCCTTCTGGAAGTCGATGAAGGCTATGTGGACCGCGTGCCTCTCGTCGAGAGCTCGGGCCCAGCTCTGGAGAGATTGCAGCAAGTTTGTCATGCAGGATCTTCCCTTCCGGAACCCATGTTGGCATCTCGATAGCAGGCCGTTAACTTCCAGAAATTGCATCAGTTCACTCTTTATGATCTTTTCCATAACTTTGCAGAGAATGCATGTCAAGCTTATGGGCCTGTAATTTGTCGTCGCTGCCTTGTTACCTCCTTTGTGTAGCGGAGTAATATGCGCCAGCTTCCAATCGATAGGAAGTGTTCCAGTGTCAAATTACGTTTGAAAGAGCAACGACAAAGGCACAGAAAGCTCCCTGGCAAGTTCCTTGAGAAGCTTGGGGGGAATCTCGTCTGGTCCTGGCGACTTCGATTCGTTCAATGCCTCTAATTCTCTTCGGACAATTCCTTCTGAGAAGAGTATATCACTGACGCTTGGAGTCGGCAGTTCTTCTGTGGAGGGAGGAAGGAACCTTGCCTCGTTGGTGTAGACTGATTGGAAAAACTGTGAAAAATACGCAGCTTTGTCCCTATTATCAGCAATTTCAACGCCATCAGTAGTCCTTATTAAGGGAATTTGATGCAGGATTCGAGCAGGAATCCGAAACGCCAGGCTTATAAAGCTCTTGTCTCGGCGATCTTGTCTTCCTCTTCAGAAACTTACAACATAACGGCTCTCAAGTTGTCCATATCTGTCACGAGCAGTCTGCAGAGGTGAAGGTTCAAAGGAATGTTCCCTAAGGCTTTGTTTTTTAACCTACATTTTTCATGGTCTACCTCAGCAACTGCGGCCGTGTGTTGGACTACAATGTCGCTATGTTTATAAATGGTATTAAGCCTTGACAAGTCGCCGAAAATGAATCTGCCGGAGAGCAGTTGCAGCCCAAACTACATTGTCTAGAACAATGGTCGACTTACTGATTCTTGTCCTTCAGTGTGGATAAGCGTACATTTTTTCGAGTCGGCAAAACCATATCCTTGCAAAGCCGGGTTTGTCGACTGAATGACTCCCCATTTTCAGAGGTTAGATCTCAGAAGGATTTTGGCGTGTGCATCATGAATTCACGTAGGCCGCTGCTGCATATCTCAAGGGTAGTCAAGTCTACTATGACATACCGCACCCTGTTTAGCGGGTTTTCTCAAACTTTATGTCGACCACAACAGACTTTAGAGTTGATCAGAAGAAGAAGCGATCGCTGGAACAATGGCTTTATTCGCCTGACGTTTCGGATTCTCTCTTGAATCCATCATCAGAGACAGTTGCAGAAAAGGGCCCTTTTCTGCAACTGTCTCTGATGATGGATTCAAGAGAGAATCCGAAACGTCAGGCGAATAAAGCCATTGTTCCAGCGATCGCTTCTTCTTCTGATTAACTAGTTCCTGGAACTCGCATTTTCGCTTGTATCAGACTTTAGAGTGTTTATGCGACAGTAAGTGGAGTTCACCATTGAAGTATAGAGAACCTAAAAATCAAAGTGCTGCCAGGCCCTCAGAAACATTCAAAGACATGCAGTCAGACTAATCAAAGTACGAGGCGCACCATCCTATAAACATGTTTGTCTAATCTCGACATTTTGCCTTAAGCCATGGATAATGACGAGGTGAAGGGACACAAACGTTTCGTATCAGATGTGGTCCCGTCTGTTGTCTTTTACCCGGTTATTTCTTCCAGTTGGCAAGCATAACGATCCTGTTCGAACATTCACTCAAATTACCTGCGACTACGGGTTGACTGAACATAAGGGAAATCTTTTTCAACAGAGTGCCTAATGTCTAGAAAACTCTGTCTGTGGATGCTGTTCTGCCCACGTGCAGTGTTAACCATACTTTTTGGGCTGGCGTCACCTCACGGGCAACAATTTTTTTTATCCCGAACAAAGGAGAAAATTGACAGAGGACAGAAAAGGCTGAAGATCAAAAATGGACAAATAGTCCAGACAAAGGGTTCTTTTCTGTGGTCAGAACCTGTCATAATGAAGGCCGGGCATGTCCAACGAAACAGTCATTGAAGGTTATCTCCGCAAATGCGCAAAGCCTATTCAACAAACTAGACGAACTAAGACACTTAGTTGATGAAATTAAGCCAGACATAATGGCATTCACGGAAACGTGGCTTACTGAGGATATCACAGATTCAGAAATATCACTTAGAGGATATCAGCAATTTAGGAGAGCCAGACTAAGCCGAGGAGGTGGAGTTATAATTTATGTCACTTGCAAGCTGATTGTTATGGCTGATGTACATAGTCTGGTGCGGGATGTGGAACTGTGAAGGTGGAGGTCAACGCGCGCAGCACGATTTTGAAAAGATTATTGAAAGTTATATTTTTGGGTTCAATTTCTTAATCTCTCGCACAGTTTTTCAGTGTAGATCTGACAAAATTTTCTATTTTTTGTCATAAGTCATCTGCGCTTCCCGTCGTGTTTCGGCGATTTGTCATAAAGCAGAAATCTAGTGTCATTGTTTTTCACCCAACATAGCCTCAATACTATCAAGTCTTGCCTGCATATACAAAAGGTTTTCCTCGTAAAAATATAGAATAGCATTATATTTTAAACGATAAACCGTCTCCACTGACCGCTTTTATCGTCGGTGTATTGATAATTATACTGTTCTCTATTTTATCCTACATAGCCTCATTATCCAATACAGATTTATTCACAGTTCCGTTTTGCCACCTACGAAATTGTCATTTACCCGTTTTTTGTTCAAGTTTTGCATTCTGTTATTGAGTATAATTTGCTTAGTATAAACTGTGCTGTCTGGTCCACCAATATTGACACCTTTCATAAATCGTTTCATAATGCATAGCCTCATCCATATATCCTCGAAGTTTCGGCAGTTAACATCCATATAAATATTTGGACTTAAGTCTTGTATTGCTTTTTCGACATGAACCCTCAGGCAACCCTTCGTCGAAATCTGAAGGAAATTAAACTTCATCTAAAACCCTTTGTTCATACGAAAAAATTGATCTAGGGGCGCTTGATGATTTTAACAATTTTATGTCTCGTTACGGATCAATTTTTTCTGTTCTTGGTGCCCTTCTTGACGGAAAGCTGTCAACGCCTACGTCTCAGCAGTGTGAGAAGCTCATGCCTCTCATTAACCTGGTTGCTACTGAGACTGAAGACAGGTAAAGACGAAGTTTCAATTTTATATTAAAAAACGTTCCTAAGAGTAGACAGCCAATAGATGTCGCTTTTCATTTCCTTTATTCATGTGGCTTCAACTTTAGGGTCGCTGAAGCTAAAAGGCTTTCATCTAGGAGCAAGAATCCACCAATTCTTGTCAAACTCTTTTCGTCGATAGAGGTGGATTTTATTTTCTCCCATTTGGAGCGCCCGACTCAACATCTCAGGGGAATTAAACTTTTTATTAGTCGAGATTAAAATCCACTGCAACGAAGAGTTTCTCCCACATTAACGAACGTAAAGCCACCCCCGAATTCTACTCATATGCCTTTTACCTCTAAAGCAGTTTCTCCATCGGGTGTCGACCAAATCTCCCCACTATCTACAGCGGCCCCAGTTCCAGCTAGCTCTTCGACTGATCACATTATCACAGAGACAGTTAAAACTAGCCTCTTTAAAACTCTCCCACGAAGCAAGGATTGTTCAAATGCGGCTCCCAAATTTACTAGGGAGCTTGATCTTTACTGTTAAGATCGATCTTAACAGTAAAGATGAGCCAGTCCTTGACGCACAACCGACTCCCAGCACTCAGAATAGTGATTTAGTTAATAAACTTACATCGAATCCACCTCGTTCCCACGCCTGGCCACTCAGGTCTGACCTCGTGGTTAGGTCCAATAAGCTAGATCATAGTTCAGGGAGATCTTTACCTGTTCCTTTCCTGAATTCTCAACTTAACGCCCCAGCTGTGAGGCCCACTTACACACCAGACTGCAAAATACAAGTATATAGCACTGCTGATAACTTTTCCAATCCCACTGCTAGTCTGACACCCCAAATAATAAAGCCCTTTCCGGATGTTATTTGTTTCCCGAAACTATTACTTCCGCTACCTAACATAAACTACCCCTCATATTATGCTTTCAATCCCCAAAATCCTATTTTCATGCCTCCTATTTTTCCAACCCAACAAACTAGCTTTCCTCTTCCTGGGTCCTCCTCAAATGTTTTTCTACATAATGCTGCATCTCTAGTTAGTAGTTACCCCACAAATTTTAGACCGCAGAAACTTTGTCCTCCACCAATTGCTTCGTTCCAACAGCTTAATTTTCCACCTCCGGCTCGTCCTTTTTTATAAGTAGCAATCAGCGGAACCTACATATTAGGAAGCCGCTCAGCATTGTCTCTCTCAACGCAAGATCAGTCCAATCAAGGTCAAGGTCAAGCCGCTGGTTTTAAATTTGAAGATAAGTGGAGGATATTATTTTTAGTGGTTTTTCTGTGAGATCTGACGATTTTAGTACCCGTTTTTTTTGGTTGAATTTCCTTAAATACAGGCCTTTTCTCTAAGAACTGCCCGCTGCCATCTCCTTTCGAGTTTTGCTAGTCTACGCCCGCTGTTCACTAATCGCACTTTGCAATTCTCATTTTGT